TACACCTTACCCTTATAGTGTGCATGTGGTATAGGATGGGAGGAACCTAGCAATAAAATGGCTGCAGTTTCAAGTTTCCAGGAATTTGAAACCTGAAGAAGTTTGCACTTGGCAAAGCTACACTAACCTTTCTACCTATCCAAATTTGTACAAAATAAATGTCAAATAGCAGTTAATATAAAAAGTATAGTACTTACTGCTATAATCACCATATCCATAGTAGTTGTTGTAACCAGTGTAGTCATATCCTCCATAACCACCGTAACCTGGGCTGTTATATCCATAGTTGCCATAGCCTTGATTCCAATAGTTACTATATCCCTGGTTCCAGTTTTGACTGGGGCCTGCAGCACATTAATAGGTTCACTAAAGTCAGAAGATCAGCAAAGATCTTTACTTCAGGATAATTAAAAAGCAAAAAAGCTTAAGATAGAGTAAACTTAGGCTCTAGCTTACCACCACCTCTTCCACGAGCTCTTCCTGAAAATCCTCCTCTAGATCCCCACTGTTGCTGTTGCTGATACTGTTCCTTTGACATGGCTACTTTTATTTCACACTAAAAAAAGAAAAATATTATACTGAATCAAAAAATAATATTGTTTTGAATTCAGAATGGCCAATACTGTCTAAAATACAGCTGGCTAATCTGTTTACCAACTAAAACCATTAGTACTTAAAAAAATAATTATTTCTGTTATCAAAAAGTATTTGCTTGAAATACATTACTACATCCTACTTTTTAAAAAATGTACTTTGGTAAAGCCTAGACAAAAATTCACTCAAAAAAAAAAAAATGTTTCATCCTGGCTAGTTTGTCTCAGTTGGTTGGATATCATCTGAAAGGTGGCCAGTTTGATTCCCAGTCAGGACACATGCCTGGGATTACGGGCTCCATTCCAGGTTGGGGCCGTGCAGGAGGCTGCCGATTGATATTTCGCTCTCATGTCAATGTTTCTGTCTTTGTCTCCCTCTCCCTTCCTCTCTCTAAAAATCAATAAACAATATATTTTTTAAAATTAGTTCCCGCCTTAGCCTGCGGACCAAAGGATCCGGGGTTGATTCCAGTCAAGGACACATACCTCGGTTGCAGGCTCCTCCCCGGCCCTGGGCCCTAGTCAGGGCTCATGAAGGAGGCAACCAATCGATGTGTTTCTCTCACATCGATCTTTCTCTGTCTTTCCCTCTCTTTAAAAATCAATGGAAAAATATCCTTGGATGAGGAATAAAAAAATTAGTTTCTGTCTTGCTCTCCAATCAAAGCAAAAAAAGTTGATCAATGACTGTGACAAACAAGGAGCCAATGAAACATCTTTAAAGCACAAGCATGCCCTAACCGGTTTGGCTCAGTGGATAGAGCGTCGGCCTGTGGACTCAAGGGTCCCAGGTTCGATTCCGGTCAAGGGCATGTACCTTGGTTGCGGGCACATCCCAGGTAGGGAGTGTGCAGGAGGCAGCTGATCGATGTTTCTCTCTCATCGATGTTTCTAACTCTCTATCCCTCTCCCTTCCTCTCTGTAAAAAAATCAATAAAATATATTTAAATAAATAAATAAAGCACAAGCATACCAAAGAAAGCCTTTACAAAAAGCTGTATGATTATACTTTTAAAAAAGCTAGTTTTATAAGTCTGCAATTAAATGAAAGCTAACTTACTTTACTAAGTCCAACATTGTGGTATTTCTTTTCCATTATCTTCTTCACTGGTTCCTCTTCCTTAAAGGTTATAAAGCAGAATCCACGCCTCTTATTGGATTTGTCCATGGGGAGCTCTATGGATTCCACCTGGTATAAAAAAATAAGTTTTAATGCCTTAGTTTGCGCATTACTAACAATAAGAGCACAACTTTAGTGGGGATAAGTGCACAAAGAAAACATATATTTGGCCCTCAGGCTCTAATATGCTGTGTCCCTCTCCATTAATTCTAATCTTTGAAAAGAATCCATCCAATTAGAACATCCACTCTTACCTAAAATGTCTTCAAACATATTTATAAAAACAAGCATCACAGGGACTAATATTTGCTATCTAATTCAAAGGTCACAAACTCAAATGCCCATCAAGAACAAGTAGAAGGAAAGTCAATTTCAAGAAAAACAGAATAAAAGAGACCGCATTTGGGAGAAAATAGAGAGTGTTGAGGACCACTGAAAACTGAAGAACATATGATTGCCCAAAGTTTGAAACTTCTACTCCCCTTAGATGGCTGTTGCATACAAGAAAGCAGTTCCAAAGTTGCTTACTCTTATAAATATTTAAGAAAGCTAGATATTCAGATTTTTGTGGGAAATATTTCCACTTCTAAATACTATCAAAACATGCTTCAGTTGTAAATCAAGCAAAAGATGCCTGCAAGCTGTATCTGCAAACTATATTTGCAGCTCAAAGTCATATATTTCTCAGCTTTAAATCATTAATCCACAAAAGAAACTTCTATCTCACTATTTCACTGTCTATACTTAGCCTAATAAAATTTGAACATATACAAGCACTTAAATTAGAAGACACCAAACCCTATTCTTAATTCATTCTTTTCCTAATCTCAGCTGAACCATTTCCTTCTCTCAGGTAATCCAATCTGGATTTCTTCTTCATGTTGTTTTATTTTTTCTATTAACATAGTAAACTCTATGAGATAAGATTGTCTATTTCATCTTTTTTACCGTGCACAGCAGTGCTATGCATATAGTTCAATAAATGGAAAAATGCAATCATCCAACCTTTAAAGATCTGCTAATAATTCAAAATATCATTGCAAAAATAACTGCATAATGTTTAAAACTTCGAAAAACCCTTAATGTGACAATTATATTCCACTAATCTGGAAAGAAAACTGGGTCAAAATATCACATACCTCACCAAAACCACCAAAGTACTCCCTTATTTTCTCTTCAGGTGTATCTGGAGAAAGGCCACCAACAAAAATTTTTTTAACAGGCTCTTTTGTTTTCATGGCTTTGGCCCTTTTAGGATCAATCACCTTCCCATTCAATTTATGTTCTTTCTGATCCATGACCTAAGGAAATTGAAGTTTTTTATTTTAAATATGTATATCTTAAGTTCAGAGACTATTATTAACTTATCTAAATATAATTATAGTTAAATTAATATAGCTAAGGCTAGGTATATGTTGACTGGCTCATGATTAAACTGTCAAATTGTAGTGATGTGACACCAGTATTTAAACATAAAGGTAAGAACCAGGATGGGAGACCAAAATCAATAACTACAAAACATCATCTCTAACTATCAGCAATAGAGAAATGATTGCCTCTTCTCCTTAGTCCAAGTCAAAATGACTCAGTTAAGTTTCTTGCCTAGCAAATTTCCAAAAAAAAAACTGTACTTCTATAAACTTGTCCCAGCGCATCCTTTTTATTAGTCATCTTTTAAGTCTCAATATTTTTAAAGTTAATTTTAATTTAGTAGAGCCTGGCACACAGAATACACGTATTCAATAAATTATTTTTATACTTGGGCATATTTTTAAATTTTTTATCAGAACTATAGTTGGTGCAGTAAACAATTATTGAATCTAACTCTTCATTAAATGTATTGGCAAGAATTGTATCTCTTCATATTATTGCAAAAGGGAAAATCACAAATGGGCAAATTAATTTTATCAAGCTATCAACATTTTTAATTATTAATTAATCAGAACACATAACACACTACCTTATCTACACTCTCCGACTCTTTAAACAGCACAAAGCCAAAACCCCTTGATCGCCCTGTGATAGGATCTAACTTCAGAGTGCAGTCTACAACTTCACCAAATTTGGAGAAGTAGTCCTTCAGATCTTTCTTTGTAGTGTCCCAGCTAAGGCCTCCTATAAACATTTTCCTGTAAAGACAAAAAGCAATATTAAAATGCTAAAAACAAAAAACAAAAAAAAAACAAAAACAAACTTTGCCCTAAGTATCGACATCAATAATCTCCTTTTTCAGACTGCACCAATTTACTGGGCAGTATGTGAAAATGTCATTCTTCCTACATAACCACATATCAAGAACACCCTATTCCAGTTTTGGAAAGTTTTGCTTTATCACTGCTGCCCCTGCATAATTACAATATAGTGAGCAAGCAGCAGATTAAGTTTTTTGACTTAGCAAAGATAAATGTCTCCCCAAAGTAAAAAAAACCTGTACATTAAGTCTTTCTTAAATTACAAGTTAAATGTTGGTAACAGCAAAATACAGAATTTTAGCTTCAAATTTCCCTTCCAAACCTTCATTATACGTATAAAAAGGCTATTTATTCCCCACTGATCAGTGACAGCGTGTCTATGCTGAACTTCCTTTCTACTTAATAGTTCTCATTAACAAAACTCTTAGCACATACAATGGAAAATTCTAAATCTCACATCACAATTAAGTTGTTAACCAAGTTTTTTCACGTGAAGTCCTTAATAAAGACAAAAGTGATCATTTGAACAATTCAGTGAACAAAAAGAATTATCCATTGAAGCACAATCCACTAATTAACCTAGATGAGTTATTTACAGTAGAACCTCAGTTAACCAGCAATAAAATATGTAAACCGTTAAAATGCTAAAAGTGACTGGTGGTAAATAGAAACCACTAAGACACTTTAAGAACAAAAATATATATTACAAAAAAATTTATCTTTTTGTAAACAGCAAAAGGCCATAAAGCTCAGATCTAGCAACTCTGTGATCCTTTTTAGATCTGTGCCCTATGTCCCCCTCCACAAAAGAACTATCATATGACATACCTTCTACCCTTTAAAGAGACAGGACTGGAGATTTTTATTTTAAGGGTAAACTGTCAGAATTTGTTATGTGAGGGCTAACAATTTCATCAGGGAATAAAATCATCCTTGCTCACCGATTTATCATCTTTATAACTGGGGTGGGTCGGGGTAGGGATGGGGATGTGGTACTAACTTCCAGCTGTGGAAAGAAATTAAAGCAGAAAATATCAACATCTTGTGGGTTTTAAAATATTACCACTAAAGCCAATTCTTGCAACAAGAAGCCAATTTTATCCCTAGAATAAGATCTTGCTTCTGCTTCTCCCTAAAGATGCCAGATTAACTGAGGTGTTACTGATCTTACTATTTTACCCATGAACTTATTTTTACTTCTAATAACAAAGTTAACTTTTAATGAAAAAGAAGTCTTATTTAAGGCATACATTGTGCTTCCCACTTCAGGTCAGGTTTTCAACTTGTACATGTTTCTAGAGTTGGGCCATTTATACGCTTAACTTTCTGGATTTTCTCTGATAAAATTTCCACGCTTAAAATAACCTTTATTAACCCTTTTTTTGTATTTTATAATCAAATGAACATAACCAAAACATCCATGTTGTATAGGTTATTAACATTTATTGCTAATTCAATGGGGGGAGGGGGGGGATTGAGGTATTTTCAATTACATTTTCTTTCATTCAAGTAATACACCTTGTAATATCCAATCCTAGTCACTTAAGTTGCCTTAAACACCTTATTTTTTAACCTAAAGATCCAGAGAACTTCCTTCATAGATGAAAATTCATTACCAACATTTACACTTTCAAGGTTAGGACGTAACTCTTTTTAAAGATGAGAAAACTGACTAGTAAAGCAATGACCTCTTGCTCATTTATCCATTACAAGTTCCAGAACAGAAACAACTTCAAGCTGAAATTTAAATTTTAAATTACCAATTCTGTAAATACTAGTTTTTCACCAATAATTTAGGTTTGAAATTATTTCAGCCTCTAAATATCTAAGAAACAGACCAGACACAGAATTTTCTTGCCTTTCAACTTTAGCTTTTTAAAATAAGGCTTTTGTATTTGAGACAAATCTAGTTTTAATTTTATTTTACCAAGGCAATGTTTATATTGGATTATCTTAAACTAAGAAAAAAACAATCGCAAAGAAATAAATTCTAACACCAAGAATGAGGCATGTTCTATTATTACTCACAAGCCCCGAATGTCTTTTTTACAGCATAGGAAGTCAGTTTTCTTAAATATTAGATAAGCATACTAATTCATTAACTAGCCCTATAAAAGTGCTCTCCAAAGAAACTTCCCACCTTTAATAGTCTTTGGTAGAGAAGTCGTTAACTGTGTCTACCTTAGAACTGAAAAGGTCACTGAAGATGCTATCCTTCCTAATCCATCAAATTCCATTTTCAGAATATAAAATATTCTGGCCAACTGTAATTTATACATATTAAGATTACTATTTCTCAAAATATTTAGAGCAAAACATGTAGAAAACTTCAGCTATCCAGCACCTTTAAAGAACAAAAGCCAAATATTCCACCTTCCTTAAGGCACTGCCAGCCTTCCCAAATCTCTCTCCAACTGTTCTTTAGCATTCAATTATTTGGAATAAAATATTTTCATCTACAACATAACATCCTTCTGCCTTAATTAAGTAGAGTAATCATGATTTGACACTGTTCAGGTCAGTCATCCCAAATATATCATGCTACTATAAATTAGAGCTATTTATTAACACACTTAGTGCATCCCATGTCTTAGCAATTTTAACAAGTTACTTCCATTTTTGCCAGGTTAATCACCAGTTGCTGTTCTAAAAGGCCTTCCACCACCCATTTTGGTAGGATAGGTAGGTGAAATTCAAACTTTCCAAATTTTATGTAAAGTATAAGTAGTCTGAGTAAGAGTTTTAGTGGCTCTTCTGAGGCAAATGTATTTCCATTTGGTAAGCCAAAATTCACTTTTTCTTCTGCTCTAAGTATGGTTGCTGCATAACAGATTACCAGACAAGTAAATATACTACAATGAACACAAACTGTACCAAGTCCATTCGATCTGTGCTAAATGGAACTTATTAAATATAAATACATTCCATCTTTTATTCAATAGGTACACCAAAACATCACAGTATGGTACAGTAAAGTGTTATCTGAATTCTGGATAAATGGGAACTTATTTTGCCTCTTTAGAACATCAGCACTCTGACATGCTCTCCCTTAAATTGAGATGGTATAAGATGATACCAATTTAAAGTTTCTATGTTTTATATTATTGTATCTTGCTTAAAGCACAATACCTATTGTCCATCCAGATTACCTCTGCTGCCTTGAATACAAAGACTGACTTCCAAGATGCTGTCACTCCTGCAGAGATGTGCAAACACTTTACAATGAAGTACAGATAGAACGTCAGAAAAATCCTAAGCAGCCAAGTTATAACTACATCACAAGATTTGTTCAAGTAGCAACAAAAATGGGCTCCTAATGCTGGAATACAGTTTAAAATTTGATCTTTAGTTTTAAAAGTAAATCAATAACCCCAATTAAAATGCAGGACTCCACCTACAGTAATTTATTAACCATTTAGTTTTTGAATTCTACCTATAAGGTATTTAGCACCCCAAAGGCAATATACTATTCAATTTAGCACACCCACTCAACAATTGAAGTCTCTACTTTTACTGATATTGATTTTACCCCATATTACAGTAAATGACAGGCAAAATTTATATAATTGAGTGCAAATGACTTATCTAAATGCTATCCAGTGTCTTTTAGAAATTTAGGCTGCTTTGTAGGATATACTTTCGAGAAAATAAATTTAGAGGCAGTAAACCAAAATCCTACCTCTACCACTTACTAACTGTGACCCCAAAGGGGGAAAAAAATTCCATGATTGTTTCCACATCTATAAAAGAAAACAAAAGACTAAGAGCCTACCTTAAAAGGGCACAGAACATAGTCTGATGCTCAATGAAAATAAGTTATTATTTAGAAGTGGTAGAGCACAATCTAAATATCTAAATATAATTTAAAAAAGCCTTTTTCATGTATTCAATGGCATAACTTAAATCTGCATAAACTATATGACATTTCCAACATTAAGAGGAAAGGTCAGGATGAATTTTATATAATGGATCCTAAGATTATTTTCAGACTTAACGCAGAAATTTTTAAGTATCCCATGTAAAAAAATGTATATAGAGTGAAAATCAGGTTGTCTAAGACTAAAGTTTAATTCCAAAAATCATCTTATGACTACTGTGTCTCTACATAAACACCAGTCTGTACTCTACACCAGTTAATGTTAGTAAGGAATAATTTCAAAATATAAAAGGCAATACATATGGAGCAGAGCTGGTTGGTGGGAAATGCTCTGATATAATACTTCTATTTTATTCCCCATCTAAGGAACTTTTTCTCTGTACTTTTGAGGTCATTAGGTTTAACATTCCAAAACCAACAGTATTTTATTTCAAGTTACTTCCCCTAACAAGTCTTTAGTGTGAAATATCTTATTCAAGGTAAAATTATAAGCATCATTAGACTTTCAATTTTGAAATAGGGAACCCGCTCCCCGCCCCCGCCCCCCACCACCAAATTCTATAACTCTCAAACACTTCCGAACAAATCACGATCAATGAAGTACGTGGTTTCATAACAAGTTCTGACAGTTTAAAAAATACGACAAAATGTAAATGTGATTTACATTTCAAGTACTTGACTAGCCAATCACTGTCACCTTTCAAAATGTTACTCAAGCATACCACTAACCTTTATTTAGATAAATTTCCTGGTATTTTATCACTGTAGTTATTCCTTTAAAATCTTAAATTAAGTATAATGAAATCTCACCAACACTTTTTTTCCCCTTAGAAATTATAGATTTTAAAGCCACCAATTACCTATAATGGAAGGGATGGGTTTACTTTTTTCAACTAAATAGTATCACATTAATCATTTTAGATTCTGTGTAAAACATACCTTTAGAAATAGTTTACAAACTTTTAACAAGTCATTATAAAACATTAATTTTTCTAGCTTAGTATGTTATTAAATGTCATTACTTTATACTTTAGGATGAACTGAAATGACAAAAGAAAACTAAGTTGAAAACATAATAGCTAATAAACTAAACATGAAAGGTTTTAAATAAACTTTAAATGTTATAACCTCAAATCTCCCCTTTTTCTTCATTTCATTCCAAGGCAGGAATGACATCTTGTATTTTTACTTTTCAAATAAACTCTCAAGTTTTGTAAGTCCAATCTACCTAAGGGTTAAGGAATAGGGTTTCCTTAACCTAGAGGCTAAGGTTCTGGTTAACTGAGATTACTACATTTACTATTCTATAACAATATGCATTGGAAATCAATTTAAATATCAACACTAAACTCAGAAAATGATTTTTATCTTTACTGATGAAATTTAAGAATCCTGCGGTTCTTTAACTTTTTAATAGTATAAGGGAAAAATTATAGAAGATTCATCACATGACATTGTTGGTTGCTTTTTTATTACTTGCTAATAGTTTTCACCTTTTTCAAAGGGCTAAAGGGGGATTTTTCTAGTTTGGGCTTTGTGATAGTTTCAAGTCTAGGTAAGCAGGAATTTACAGAACATGACCCAATACTTTAAACTATCACCCTAACTATTGGCCAAACACTGCCAATAAGTCTTCCCACCCCACCCCAGTCTTAAATATCTAGCTCCAATGTACAATATAATACTCCAGAAACTAAAACATGCTTACCTTTACTCCACAGGAGTAAATCACTGGCAGTATCTACTATTAAGACACAGGACAAATACACACAAACTGAAAGCAAGCTATGTAGTCAATCTTCCTGTGAGCAGTTGTTTCCAACACATAGATCAGCAAACCAAGTAACAAACATGTTATATTACCTGAGACCACACTGTTGGAAGTGAAGTAAGAGAAACAGATCCCACGCTTCCAGCATCCAGTTCAGTGCCCTATCTACTAAAATGTTGAAGCAGAACTAAAGTGAAATAAAACTTTGAACTAACAAAAGTTATGTTTCACTCCATTTGTGAACTTGCACACATCTGAGGTGCACAGCTTTAAGTAGAATAGGAAAAAAGTTCCTTTTTACATGTTTTCAAGTATGGCATGTATCACTTGAAGACTAAAATGAACCATCCTACATGTTGGTCATAAATCACAATAGAAAAGACTTTCTTATATTAGGGCAGCCTTAAATGACAGAACACTCAGGCAATATAAAAACTACACAGTGAATAAACAACTAGTTTATAGATGTCACACGACTTGAGGAAAAACAGGCTAAGGCAAATATATTTATCTCAAAAATGAGCACCGAAAAACTTCAATATTCTCTAATTCCAAACCCAAAAGGTCAGGTGATTTTTATAGTATCTTTTATGTTCATTACCTCAAGATTTGGGGACATCAATTGTTATAATTTAAACACTGGAAACCTGTCAAAGGTTCCAAAGAATGCTATAATTCAAACCCCATCTACTCAGGGTCTCAAGTTTACTGACTCAAAGGCCAGTAAAGTTGGCATGAGACTGTTCTAAAATTGTTTTACAGAGCAAATAGTGTTCAGAATGCCCCAAAGCACCAGCGTATACTATGATCTCGAATATTTAAAACAAAAACGTATAGTCCCATTTCTTAAAAATTAAAAGGAGAGAACCTATAGCAGCATTCACAAAATTTCCAAACAGGCTAATCACACTAGAGTTTATACACTAATGATTAGATCAAACATCCTATTATTAGAAAAGTATTGCTATGATAACTGAATAGAACTATTCTGCTTCCTGCCCAATCCAATGCAAACCAGTCAATGTACCTATTTTGTAAAAGTATCTAAAAGCTAATTATAGTTTTCCACTGAGCATGAGAATTTAAAAATTGCTTTGCTACATGGCATGTCCATTTTGCCAGACACTAATTTTCGAGCATCTATCTTAACGGAACTGCAGCCCTGTAGAGAACATGAGTCCATACCCAAAGAGGAAACTCCAATGCAAAAGCTTCTTAATAAAAATTAAGATATTAAAGTTGGAAAGATTAAAATGAAGTGAATTCAGGAAGGCATTTTATTATGAAAATAATTACTCCAAAAGCCCATAGTAAACTGTGGACACATCTATTCGAGGTATGTAACAGGCATGCCCTCCTCAAAACAGCTGTTTAGTCTTATATTCAGATTTTGAGAAAACTTTTAAGTCTACAACACAATGATTTTAAAGATATTTTAGGATGAAACTGTAATCACTTTATTCCCAAGTTAGAATTACAAAAGAAATACATGCAGAAATGTGTTTAAGAAATTAAATTTACATGATTTTATATCTAGTAAGCAGTCTTATCCTCACTATTGAGACTATTATGAAATTGCTGCCCAATGTCCCTCAAACAGGAAGACAAGGAAAAAGAATAGATAGGGTGGCCAGTGCACAGACACAAAAAAGTTGTTTAATGGTCTTGAGATTTCTTTTTGTTGTTCAAAAAGTAAAACAGTATTATATTAATAGGATGAGGCTGGGTGGGAAATAATTTTAAAAGGTCAAATATTAAGACTTTAAAAATGAAAAGCATTATTTGTTAAATGTAAATTTGCTTAAAGTGCACCTCCTATTTTCAATAGGTAATAATCAGACTGAATCTAAAACTTTCATTAAACTATAAATACTTAACTGCCCATTTTTCCTGAGAGGTCACTCAAAAAACTTGTGAAGTTATAGTATTAGGTAGCAAGGCAAGTATAATTCTTACAAGAGTAAAACAATAACCTAAGTTTATGGTCCTTTCAAATTACTGAAAATAATTGCTTACACAAGATTTGGAAATATATAATGGAGTAGAAAAACCAAGTACAGTTATCCTTTAATCTTAGTGTGTCACTATTAGCAGTAAAGTATCAGTATCAGAGTATAATTTTCATCAGAAACATTTTTATTTTTTATGTCCAACTCTGACCCCAGTTTCTTCTTTTGCTTTTCCCTTTAGACTATTGCTGCTTCCAGTCTGCTTTATCTCCAATATAAAACTGGACAGATTTCCGTGGATGAGAATACAGTAACAAGAAAAGCTCAAGTTAAATGTTATCCCAACTGGGCTCTTTGTAGAATGTAATTTGTACAGATAAGTCAGCTATCAACAAATTACTGACCCTCCATGCTCCAGTAGTGGTGGATAAAAAAACTCATGGAAAACTCTAATATAATCCTAAAGAAAGACTGAGCTTTAGAGAAAAGGAATAATATAAAAAAACAGTCAATCTACTAGCCTTCCAAAGAAAAGTCATGCAACTGTGAACATGTCAACCAACTGTAATTAACATTCCAGCCAAATCACACAAAATAAAAAATCTAATTTAAGAGCTGTAGTGGAAAGCCACATCAGCCCACCTTTGAATAGTACATATCAATTCTTAAAGGTATATTTGTAAATAAATAGGTTTGGTGATAAAATACAGTTTTGCACAATATATACACAATGCTACTTTTAAAATTATTTTACTTTTGACATCTCCAGAATATTTCAGTATTTAACATGCAAGACATTTTAAACACAAGATTTTATATCAAGTAACCTTCACACTTAGCATAAACTTATAATTCCAAAATTATCTTTTTCTTAAGAACAAAAATAAAATTAGAAATTTGTTGTTTTTTCTTGCCCAGATTAAAAAAAAAATCATTACTAATTATATTAAGCTTTAATTGGCCAAACCACAATTACATGCATTACCACAGAACAAAAACCATGTAATAGCATCAGTTTTGCCCAAAGATCACTCATGATACCTAAAAAGGTTTTATATCCCAGGTACAAGATATCCTACTGTACTAATGTCTAGAATTTCCTGGGGAGTCAATGGGCAACAAACCAAAACACAGCCTCTCCAAGTTATGACTATTGAAACCTTTATAATACAGAAATAAAATGTAAAAGTTTTACCATTCTTCCCGCTGTGCCGTCGCTGCTTCAGAGTGTCGTGGGGAGGAGTTTGAATGGCTAGGGAATTAACAACCGGTACAGCAACCAATCAAAATTCTAGTTTTAGTTTTTGACATTGTTAGGGTTAAAAACTTTAATTAATTTACACTTCAGTTCAACAGTAGATAACTACAAAGGCAGCTACTTTGTGATTTGAAAAATCAAGGTTAACAGGAAGCCTGCCCCAAACAGCAAGTTATACAATTACTCATTTTGGTACCTCTGCCCAAATAACAGAATTCAGAAAACCAAAACCAAAATAGTAAGGCTTAAGTTTCCAAATATTTAACATATCCCTTTCTTAAATTAAGCTATACATTATCCAAGATTAATTAAGAAAAGCTAGTTTCCTATCCCACCTCCAGTCTCCCAGTCAGCAGTCAGCAAACAGCCGGACAAGTCTGTCTGGGCTTAGATTAAATCCTGTACTCCACAGTGCTTCTCTCTCCTCCCTCCAAATCTTGTGCTCTTTCCCAACTGCTTTTACCTTCCAACACTTTTCCCCTTGTTATAATGAAATAAGTTCTCACACACACACTACAAAAAGGATTGGAAGCTTAACCCAAGATCGGTAGTAACAGGAGTTAAGAAAACCCAACCAAGAACCCCGATTTAGTCCCTCCTGCTAACTCCCGCTCCCAAATGCTGCATTTTAATATCTATTAAGTGCAGCTTTAAGTAAGGTGCACAACCATTTCCAATGGGAGGTAGCAAGTTACTATTTAAAAACCTGCAAAACAAAAAAGTTATGCCATAGCATAAGACAGGATTTGTTCATTTTTTAAAAGGCTGGTGGGCCTCCTGTAACAGTGGGTAAGAGCAGGAAGGAGAAATCAAGAGAGACCAAAAAAGGATCCTGGGCCCCGGGTGGGGAAAAAAGGATTTTGTAAAAAAAAATGGAAATGGCACAGAAAAAGTAAAGTGGGTAAGAGTACCATCCGTAGGAACCATGGGGGAACCCAGCAGCTGAGAGCGAGAGAAGGGTGCGTGGTGAGTGCAGCTCGGCGGGTGGGGGCAGGGCAGCCCGCAGCCCGAGGCAGAACAGTTCCCGTCCAGGGCCGGCCCCGCCGACCGGGAACTGACCCAGAGCCCGTGGGGCAGAACCAAGGCACCCACAGGCGAGGCGATTCGGGGACTTTCGCCTCGTCCAATCTGTCCCCTAGGCTGAAAAATAGGGGCTAGGGTAAGCAAGCCGTTGTGCGATAGTGTACAGTAAAAAAGCGAAGAGATCGAGGCGAAACTTATTCAAAATTACTAAAAAATAAATAAATAAAAATCGGCCTGAAGCCGAAACGGGAGCACAGGTGGAAGCCTACACGTTCCCCCAAGCATGTACTTTATAAAACAATCGCATCGTCTCGGGATGCTGGAGTGAGTCGCCCCAAATAAACCTTAGTTGCATAAAGGCTTGGTATCTGTTTGCGTTTTTTATGCCCTGGGACTTCAGAAACGGGGAGCAGTCAAGACTGGGGGTGGGGGGGGAAGGTGCCCTCGACAGGCGGGAAAAAATCCTGGCGGCTAAGTCGGTGGGAGGAGACGCAGGGCAAGGGAGGGAATAAGGGCGGGCCGCGGAGCAGCGTGGTGATGGCTAAAGGTGGAAACGTGTGTGATGGGGGAGGGGGCGGCGGGCAGGCACGGGGCGAAGGCAGTGAGCGCCCCCGGGGATCCCCGCGGCGAGAAGAGGGGCAGAGCGCCAGGCGGCTGCAGGGGGACCCGGAGGGCGGGCGGAGAGCCGGAGCGAGGCCTAATGGCGGGGAGCGGGAAGGGGGAGGGGGGAGAGTTGGGCCTGGCTATCCCGGGCCGCCCCTTACTCACCCTTCATCCTCCTCGTTCTTACTGGCATCGATCTTCGCCCCCTCCGACTCGGCGCTGCTCCCTTCAGTGCCTCCGGCCGCGGTTCCGCCCCCGGTCCCGGCTCCGCTTCCCGCCGCCGCCGATGCCCCTGGCGCCGCCGCCACCATGGCTCCCTCCTGCTCGCCCGCCGAGCCGCCTACCGCCGCCGTTTGCCGCCGCCGCCGCGCCGTCGCCGCCGAACTGCTCCTCCGACATCGTGCTACTGCCTCCGCCGCCGAAGAGACGACACCCGCCGCCGCGAACCGAAACTAGCAGCAAAGTAATCCCCGCCGCTGCCGCGCGCCCGCCGTACCGCGCGAAGCACACAACAAGGCAGCGAAGGCGCGCGCGGCTGCGAAGGCTCCTGCGCCTCTCCCTGGCCTGCCCGCCTCGCCTCCCGCTCTCGCGCGGCGCGCACTCCCGCTCTCGGCCGCGGCACTAAAAAAGAATCGGCAGCAGCGGCGGCCGCGCTTGCCTCCTCCTCGCTTTAATGGCGCCGCCGCGGACCACCTAAAATGGCCGACGGAAGAACGGCGCGTCCCGGTCACGTGACGCGCGAGCGCGCCCTTTGCACCTCCCCCGCCCCCTCGACAGCTATTTTTTTTTTTTTCCCCCTTCCTCCTCGGTCCCGCCTTCTCGCTCCCTTTTATACCTTCTGGCTTGCGCCGCGCCGCACAGCGTGGGGCCTTTAAAAGGAACCGGAAGTGGCGTTCGATAAGACGGCCGCGCGGGGACCATCGAGAACAAGGAGCGCGGTGTCGGAGGCGCGGCTAGAGATTTCCCTTCCTCGGCCCCGCCCCCCGGGGGTTCCGGGCTGGCTCCCACCCCCACCCGACCTGCACTCCTCCGCGGCGGGCGGGGGCCGGGCGGCCGGCGGGAGTGGTACGACCGTGCCCGGCGCGCCTGCGGCGTGGAGGTGGGGCTGGAGACACGCACCCGCTGCCCCGTCAGTCCGAGCGGTTCCCCGTCGGAGGAAGGAGGCTTCCCCGCGGTGCGGTCTCCGAGCCTCCTCCGCTCTGCCCGGAGCGGCGCCTGGCGATGCCCCGCTCGTCGCCCGGCCGCGGCGGCTGCGCGCGGGCACGGACTGCGACCGCTCCGCCCGCCGGCGTCGCCCGGGTGACATTGAGGTTTCCCCGGCGGCCGCCTCCACGCGTGCCCACCTGCGGCGGGCGGGCCGAGGCCACTGGCGATTAGTTCTTTCTCGTTTAGGATGGGTTTTCCAAAGTGAGAGTTTTCCGTACCTGCTTTTCTCCTGAAAAGTTTTCGTCTAACGAAGGAGGTAACTTGTGTGTTTTAAGGAACAGGGGTGGTTTTTGCTTTGCTTGCTTTCTTTGAAATCCTGAAACCTTACCACGATTATTTGAAAATACTGGGAGTTGGGAAGTGTTAGATCAGCCCAGGGTTCATTTCATTTTAATGACTTTTAGTCCTTGTACTAATAGAATATATAAATGCTGTGAATCATCTTTACAAGGTGTCCGAGTTTGCGGTGTGGGAGGTCGGGGTGTGTCTTTTACACACCGCTAGGCGTTTCGTGCAGGGTAACAGTAAATGTCTTTAATAGACCTGTTAGAAATCCCAAATGCCTTGGCTGGATTATTTGGGCTTTGGGACTTGCAGGTTCATGCAGTACACCCAGAAGAAAATACAGTTTCTAGGTACTTCTTTACTCAACAAGTAATTATTTGCTTGTTTAGCATGTGCCCAGGAGTTGGGGAAACAAAGATTAATGCAAAATACAGCAAAGAACTCTGAAGAGTTTAAATATTTGTTTTCTGCTCTGTAATTAAATGAACACTATCCAAAAATCTCATAGGAAGATTAAAAATACCTAATTTTCATTATTAATCAAGTTAGCAAAATTTGCATTACCGAATAATCAAAACTCAAGAGTACAGATCAAATTCTGAAAGTGCCCTAAAAATAGAATCTTACTAGTACAGTGGAGGGAATATAGTCGATAATATTGTAATAACTATGTATGTTTTTAAGGCAGATGGGTACTAGACTTATCATAAGTTATATAAATGTCTAATCACTATTCTATACACCTGAAACTAATATAAAATTGAATGTTAACTGTAATTGAAAACTAAAAAGAATATACATATATATTCTTACTGAATTACTGTATTAAGCAAATCACACACAGGCAATGTCAAGATCAGGTATGTCTCCACCTGTCAAAATAGTAGGTAAGGAGCCCTAACGGTTTGGCTCAGTGGATAGAGCGTCGGCCTGCAGACTGAAGGGTCCCAGGTTCGATTCCAGTCAAGGGCATGTACATTGGTTGCAGGCACATCCCCAGTAGGGGGTGTGCAGGAGGCAGCTGATCGATGTTTCTCTCTCATCGATGTTTCTAACTCTCTGTCCCTCTCCCTTCCTCTCTGTAAAAAAAATCAATAAAATATATATTTTAAAAAATTTTAGGGAATATTAAATAATAGTAAATACATGAATAAATATAATGTTAAAAAAAATAGTAGGTAAGGAGAAAGTAGGTATTTGTACTCAAGCCAAATATTCCAATTTAGAGACAACTAAGGAGATCACCTGAAGGGAAGTAACTTGAATCTTTTCTGTCTTCAAGAGAGGATTCTTTTGCTCTTACAACAGCTTTGGACATGCCCCACCAAAGTAATAGGCTTTCCCAAAAGGTTCATTTTAATTTACATGTCGGCCAATTGTTTCTGGACTTTTTGGAATTGATGTAAAAAAAAAGGAATAATTTTAAAGCTAACACCTTTACTGTATACTACATATGTATGATGCCATATCACTCCTGTCTCTATATATTATGGTCCAAATCTCTGCACCCTATGCTCCTACATCCAACCAACATTCCTCTTAGGACTCACACTTTCAATCCTAGTTCTTTTCACATTCCTCATCTGCCCAGTAAACTCCTATTCATCCATCAAAACCCCAATCCAATGTTACTTTTGTGAAACTTTCCCAGACTCCCTGAGGCAGAATTAATCATCCATTAACACAACCCTTAATCCTTACTTCTGTTATTATAAGTATGTAGTTGTACTAGATCATGAGTTCCTGGAGAGCAAAGATAATGTATTCTGTGTATCTTAGGGATATACATAAATGTATACGGAGTAGACTAATTGTCATATAATTGTCAGTTGAATTATAGAATGACAAAGTACTAGATATTTCCAATCTGTTATGTCTTTGAGGAAAACTAAGTATGCTTCCAAGGAATTAAAAGGCTTTGCTTCCCACCATCCCATTTCATCTCTGGCATAAAAACACTTTCTCAGACTTCTTGTTGATATGTGAAGTTCCTTAAGAAGGAGAAAACCAAACTTTTATTCCATAATCACAGGTAAGAATTTAATGTTTAAGTGACTGAAGATTATATATTGGTACTGTCTTAGAGCAACCCAAACCACTGCCAGGAAGCAATATCCCCTCTCAGAGTCCATGATGTCAAAAATTCCATTGCTTCAGGAGGTTCAGATGTGTTTCAGATAACACACTGAAATACTGGATCCTCATTGAATTCAGCTTTTGTGAAGCAATAACTGCAGAAAAAAACTAGAGTACTTATAAGGGGCAAAAAGAAAAAATTCATTTAAGATTGAAACGAATCGCTTTTACCCAGGACAAGATGTATACATCTAAGTCAAGGAGTCACATTTTTAATCTGTTAAATACACTGTACAAACAGAGCAAGCGTATCCGAAGCTCGAATTTTTAAAAGTGGCAACCTAGAATAAACAGTGTTCCAAAGAAACAGCTGGAAGAACGCATTTCCTATACAAGGTGCACATATTTGAGCCTCTTCTACAACTATACTAAATAGTCATTTGCTCACCTGCAGAACACTCTCAGTAGGATTTAAGCATTTTGTTGAAGAATTAGCTTGCGGCCCTAACCGGTTTGGCTCAGTGGATAGAGCATCGGCCTGCGGACTGAAGGGTCCCTGGTTCGATTCCGGTCAAGGGCATGTACCTTGGTTGTGGGCACATCCCCGGTTGGGGGTGTGCAGGAAGCAGTTGATCGATGTTTCTCTCTCATCAATGTTCCTAACTCTCTATCCTTCTCCCTTCCTCTCTGTAAAAAAATCAATAAAATATATTTAAAAAAAAAAAAAAGAATTAGCTTGCGGTTTTAGGTGAAGTGACCAATTGCCCAAACATCATGACTGGTTGTCAGGAAGCTCTCACTTAACTAGACAAAATAGAGGCCCCATCATTGTGAATTGCCAGATTTTACTTCAGCAAGTCTGTCCTAGAGTCTGAGTTCTGCTTAACCAGAGATGTCAATACAGTCCTTTCAATTCAATTAGAAGAAACCTAGCTCCAAAGTCTGTCCTAGAGTCTGAGTTCTGCTTAACCAGAGATGTCAATACAGTCCTTTCAATTCAATTAGAAGAAACCTAGCTCCAACAAACAGCCCTAGCCGGTTTGACTCAGTGGATAGAGTGTCAGCCTGCAAGACCAAAGAGTCGCGGTTTCGGTTCTGGTCAAGGGCACATACCTCAGTTGCAGGCTCCTCCCTGGCCTGGGCCCTGGTCAGGATGCATGCAGGAGGCATCCAGTTGATGTGTTTCACATCTGATGTTTCTGTCTTTCCCTCTCTCTCCCACTCTCTCTAAAATCAATGGGAAAATATCCTTGGGTAAGGATTAAAAAACTACAACAAAATAATTCAGACAATAAGGAAATGTAATTATCTTACTCTAAACCAGCGGTTCTCAACATGTGGGTCGCGACCCCTTTGGGGGTCGAACGACCCTTTCACAGGGGTCGCCTAAGACCATCGGAAAACACATATAATTACATACTGTTTTTGTGATTAATCACTATGCTTTAATTATGTTCAATTTGTAACAATGAAATTGAGGGTCACCACAACATGAGGAACTGATTAAAGGGTCGCGGCATTAGGAAGGTTGAGAACCACTGCTCTAAACCTACATATCCCACGCATACTTAACACCTCCACTTGATGTCCCACAGGCATCTCAAGCTTTAGATGTCCAAAACAGAACACCTTCCCAACAAATCAGCATCTTGTCTTCCTCTGCAGTAAATGAAACCTCCACCCACCCATGTGTTCCTGGCAAAAATCATGGAGTCCTTGATACCACTCCATGCATCCAATCAATCAGTTCCTACCTCCAAAAGGTATCATCTTTATTCTAAGTGTATCTTAGAACATAAATAGTGGGGTTATTTCTAATTAGATTTGTTCACATTCAACCATGGAACACAGCACATGTACATTTCTGATGCTTGGAATATGTGTCCAAAACAGAAAAGTCTTGATCTCAGCTTTGATTCCGTGGGAGAGGCAAACAACAGACAAAATTAAGTAGATGTCTTATATAATTTTAGGTAGTA